CATCTAATTCCTTTTAAAAGAGGTCGATAAGGTCCGCTCACAGTGGATCTCAAACAACCTTATGTTAATGAACATATAGCTTAAAGAGGGACCTTTTTGTGGACCGAGATTAGGATGTTGGGGTCAATGCAACCACCATTGCTTTCACAAAACACCACAAAACCATCCCATGTATCGCTTGAAGATCCTCTTAAAATAGGTTTCAAAATCGTTACCAAGTCGGGCACAAGATGAAGTGAAATGACTTGCCAACTACTTGTGGAAAAAGTGAAGTCATACTGAATTTAAAAAGTAGGCGATGGCAGTATCTTCCTCTGGTTCCTGTGTTACTGTTGTGCAATGCCACTGCTCATGTGTACTTACTTAAATTGTATTAGCATGGGCTTTCTTCGAACTCTAATACGTTAGCTATATATACAACGGGACAAATCAAGGATTTCTAAATGTTTTTCTATATATTTTTGTATCTTTAGTGATCTTAAGAAAAACACTCCGCCCCAAACTGCTTCCGATAAGCCGTCCAGATCCTTTCATAGCAATCCAAACTCATTTTAAATGGTTATTGGCTGAATAAGAATCGGTGAAGCCTTCTGAGGACTTTTTGGCAGTAGCTCCCAACTTCTCTGTTCATTTTTAAATGGATACATCTTTTTAAATCGAAGAACCAAAATGTCTAGATGTGAAACTAATCCAGAAATTGGCCAACAACAGAGACTCACTTTACTTGAACTCACACAAATGTCAACAGGGTCACACCTGTAAGTCAACATTCCCATAAGTCCTTGTGATTGTACTGTGGCTTCAGAAGTCTACCTACAGTATTGAGATATTTAGTTGACATGCTCTGTTGTTAAGAGGTGCAAATAGTTGTAAATTGTCCTACTGACTGTTCTTCATGTAGACAGGCACAAGAAGACTCTACCTGTATATTCTTAAATCCAAACATAAATGCTGATCTAAACAAAGATGTCTACTAGGAAATATCATGAAATAAAGTGTGTGTTAAGTTTTGTCTCATCATAGGCATGCATGTTTGGGAAATAGTGTGACTTGTAGACAACCATATTTAAATGTCAAATGTATTAATGCAATTAATGTTTATCATGTAAAGTGTATTGCAGTGTATGTCAGGTGTTGATCCCAGGAAGACATCTGCTAATGAGGATTCCTTATATAAACAAACACAAATGACTGTATATAAAATGTCTTACAGTACAGGATACCGCTATCAGAAAGGATATTCTTATTTACCTTATAATTACTATTTTAGCCCTGGACTAGATGTTGTATGTAGCATCTTTAACATCACTCACCTACATAACTATACGTCTGCAAAAGGAGAACTCTTCAAAAAAACAACAGTTGCATAATATCAAGAAAAGTCACACTGGTATGTTCTCACTTGAACAGTCCATTGGTGGTTAGAACGAGCCAACTACAGTATCAGATATAAGAAGATGAGCAGACAGGCTTCTGAAGAAGAACATATTTGTATATCTGTGTCACCCAATAGGAATAGTGTCACATCAGTGTGTGTTAACGCTGAATTCCTCCATGCAAAGCAGTTTGTATAACTAAATGTTTACAGAAGTAGCTCAGCCTTAAGAGTGTGTGAGTGTGTGTCTATGTTGTCCTTGTATAAGACTGCCTGCAGCCAAATGGCATTCTGTCAAACAGGTTGCGACAAAACACACACACACACACACACATAGACAAATTCCTTTTCCTTAGATGGCTGGATATGCCACTTAATGATGTGAATGATATCTCCATCTGAAGCATGTCTGTGTGTGTGTGTGTGTGTGTGTGTGTGTGTGTGTGTGTGTGTGTGTGTGTGTGTGTGTGTGTGTGTGTGTGTGTGTGCCAACCAGTTGTTCCTACTGCCTACAAAGCTCTTTGAAAAGCTAACTCAACATGTGAAAGCTCTGCAGTCTGTTCCCTCAGCTCCTTCTCTCTGCAGCTCTCAACTTGGCAACAGCACAACTCAAAACACATGCCTTATGTTCATCTTGCCTACTTCCTCACAGCATACTAGTTTGTGAAAACAGAGAAAAAACTGCTAATACAAGAGCATCATTTGTAAGAGGAAGAAAGCACAGCCCTTGGCCTGTTGCCCAAACCCTGCCAGATCCCTGTACTGTGTGACAGAGGTTTAATAACCCGACTAAATGCTTCTTTAGACGGCGAGGTAAACATCTCCTCTCAATTGATTCGCCATCCCTGCTGGAATCAGTCCCAGCTGCTGCTTTCTGGAGGATGATGACAACTTATTTTTCTGCCTGTGAACCAATCTCGGGTCTCACGGTTTCCGCTTCACTTCGAGATATTTTCCACACTCGCACGCAAGCAGAAAAGTCACACGGAAGTACAGATAAAGAGTTCTTAACGTACCTGTGTCAGTATGAAACGCTGTGCACGGGTTTTCCTCTTCAATATGCTGATGTTGGCTGTGGAGGAGCTGTGTGCAGCCTGAAGTCTGCAGAAGACTGGCAGGCAGGCAGCAGACAGCTAAACCGACCCAGAGCCATGCATAATCAGGGTTTAGTCCAGCCTCTGCTGAGCACCAGGCGAGGAAGTCGGGTTACTACAGTACAGTGTGTTGAAATGTTACTTAGGTTTCTAAACAGTGTCCTCTTACAAAACGGATTGTTATTCAAACCAAATTAGACAATACATTTGCTATAGTCAACCGTCACTAACATGTATCTTCTTTTTACATGACTATATGTGCATTTAATTAATATGAACAACTTTTTTCCTGTTGTATGAACAATTAAATAGAGAATAAATAAATGTATTATAATTATTATAATTATATTGACTATAATTATAGTTGTTATAGTTGGATATTGTTTTTTTTAAATATATTTACAACACTATGTATGATTTTTCTACTCTAAAATGTACAAAAGATAAGAGGAGGTGGTTAAGGTTTTGCTTGATAGATAACAGTGGCTAACAATTAGTTAAGAAGTAGCTAGTCTGCTTGCTTTGGTTTATATACGTTATTGTAATACGCAACCTGATGTTTCATGTATTACATTAGTTTGTTTTTTATTTATATTATAAACATACCTGAGATTAAGTCATGTCTTGTATCAAGAAACTCTTTCTTTTGCATTTTTAATGTTGTCTACTTTCTTGTTTTATATTACACGGCAGATACATTTACTACAAAAAGAACAGCTTATTTTAAATGACTCAGCATGTGTTAATGTAACTTAGTACACATATAGTGTATTTTAAGTGTGTTTGTCAGGAGGTTAAACTGCAGTAGCTGCTTGCTGTTCCCTCTCTCCTCCTCCTTGTTTTGGTGGACTGAACCCTGACTCCAAACGGCTCTGGGTTGGGTTTATTGCAGCTGTGCGGCTGCCTCTCTTATCCGGGCTTTAGCAGTGATGCAATGTTTCCAGATGTGGAACAAGAAAGACTACTTTATTAGTCTGGGCTAAGGAACAACATCCGTTATCCGCAAGACATATATACAAATACAATAAGTAGGCTAAATAATAACCTCATAATAGTTATGTAGAAGCTTAAAGGCCAATCGTTTTTAAATGCTTTTCTACTGTATGGTTTTCTGGTGTCATCAATAGTCCTAAAATATCACTTTTATTACTTTTATTATTTGCATGCAAGGATCTCTGAGAGTGTGCATTAAGTGAAACCATATAGCACACTTTGGGTCAGAATTTGGATTATATAAGCCTCTTTGCCAACTATGTGTATTTCCAGATTACACAATGATCTTCCTGTTAAATATTTAATTATAATTTTTTTTGTGTGTGATCAGCACACACTTGGGTCCAAAAGTGTGGTAATATTTATTTCTGTTCCTTTTGTTTAATGTACTAGGCTTCTATGAGGCAACCAATGATGAAAACTGAAATTTTTGGGAGAATAATGATTCTAACACAGTCCTTATTTCTGTAAACCTTACATCACTTTGACGTCCAGTTAGAGAGATTTGTGGCAGTGTTGCTTTCCCTCTTTCTGTGTGAAATAGAAGTGTCTTATCTGGTTAATAAATACCTAAAGGAAAGCCTAGCTGCAGAAGTTTACGAGGAAGAGTGGGTGGAAAAGCATGTTGGACCACTCTGCTGGGGTCAGATTTCCTCCTCAGATCTGATGGACCATCTCATCATCGATCTCCTCCTCCTCTGAGATTGCAGACAGGATGAAGGCGCCTCCTGCTGGATGAATGCTGATATTTTAATAAGCTGTTTTCCTGTGTGGAAATCTCAGAACAGCCTATCTGGCTTCACACACACACACACACACACACACACACACAATTTAACCAGTTAAAAATAATGACTAAATGATTATAAGGATCTTGG